GAACAAATCTACGATTCACTTTTGACCCACCATAAAGAAGGTGTGGCTTCGGTTGCTACGTTCCTGTTTTAGCACTATGTTTCTTTTCTGTATCGTTCTTTATCCTGTGATTTTGCTAACAGTACCATCAGTAAAAATAGTCTCATAATATTTGATAATATCTGTTAAAAAGTATAGAACAGCATCACCTCTAGAAAGTGCTTTATCGGCACTAGGAACGATATATAAGTCAGCATCTATAACTGTAAAATTTTATATTATAGAAACTTGTAATAAAATAAACTACATGATGTGACTAGTTTAAAATAAATATTATATTTAGACATAAATGCATTATTTTACTTACATTAGAAGCTTTAAAAAGACATTGAATTGATTTCTCCTTCTGTTTTTTTTTTGAGTTTTACATTTGATTTGTATCCTGTTTTACAATCTGGAACGACGTAAATCTTGCTTTGATGTTTTTTGTCACTCATGTTACTTGTGCTCAGGTACTTTTTTCACATTATTTTGATTCTTTTCACCATTTTTAAAAAAAACTCACTTTATTTTACATTGACTTACATAGAAAATTGACACCGGCTGTTATTCGACATGCCAACTACAGTCAATTTCACGAACTTTATAAAAAGAAGGACGGAAATTTGAATTTTGACCGCTGCCGAATTGCCTCTTTCTAGTCTACATAAGTAGAGACGACATGAACACTATTTTGCGATGTGACAAATCACATACTTTGATTTTCTTTTACTATACGGAGAATGGTCGCCACATACTTTGATTTTCTTTTACTATACGGATAATGGTCGCACTGCGCAGCTTTCTGAATGCCTTTTAAAAGGAGATAGAAAACTCCGCCATTTTGAACCCTTATTACGTGTTGCCTACATCTTGGCGCAATATTTTTAATAGGTGCGTTTTAATCATCCACTTCTCCTTCGGAATTGTCGGTTTTCTTGTTTTAATCTGACAGGTTAAAAGGACTAAACCGACAATTCCGGAAGCAGAAGCGGATGATTAAAACGCACCTGATATTTTGCTTGCTGCTATCAGTGTCAGTGAATATTATTTTTGAAGTCACAGTTTATTGCTAAAGAATCAGCTCACTCGGACCAGTTGAAAGTTCCAAAATAACATCCACTCCAATATACAAATTCAGGATACGCAGAAGACTGCTGTTTTATTATAGGCGGTTGTCATATATTGTATTATCCGAGTTGCACGGTGTATAAACTGAAACATTGAGACCAAAAGTGCCGACGCAGAGTGAGCGATCTGATTCTTTAGCTGTAAACTGTGTCACAGGGTTCAAAATGGCCGCGCCCTATGTTGGGCGTGTCGGACCTCTCTCTTGCCTCGTATAGTAATCAAAGTATGTGGTATTATCCGAGTTGCGCAGTGTATAAACTGGAACATTGAGATCAAAAGTGCCGACGCAGAGTGAGCGATCTGATTCTTTAGCTATAAACTGTGTCATAGGAATCAAAATGGCCGCGCCCTATGTTGGGCGTGTCGGACCTCTTTCTTGCCCCGTATAGTAATCAAAGAATGTGTGACAAATGGACGCACTTCAAGTGATGGAAAAGTGTAAGTAAAATGGCGACTTTTTTTGTCATCGGCATCAACTGCTGTTATTAGCCTCGTGTTCTGTGTAGGCTTTGTTACTGTTTTCCAGCGCCACTTTAAGAACAGCACTGTTAATTAGTACCCAATTGTGAATGGTCGAGGGGGGAATCTTACCAATACCAAGGCATCAGAATTAATTTTAAATAATTAAATTAAATTAAATAATCCTGGCCAACGGTGGGATTCGAACCTGGGACCCTTGAATCCGCAGGCAGAGACTCTACCACTGAGCCACCAACCCCGTTAAATGGCGACTTGAGATGTACTTTGATTTATTTGAAGTCAATAATTTTATATTTGGAGGCTGACGGAATGAAAATTATTTTATATCATTTATATGAAGGTATTTAAAAAAAATGGCATTTATTCTCACCAAAACTGACTAGCTACACTATTTAGAGTTTGACATTGACGTAAAAATGTAATGCAAAGGTGCCACATACTTTGATTTTCTTTTACTATACTATGGAGGGTAGAGAAAAGGAGGACAATCTTATATGGATCTTTATATTAAAAAGTGGCCACCAAAATGTATACAATTAAGATGGCGCTCGTGTAGCCAGGGGACAAAATCCAATGCTATATAGTCATATAGATTGCTCATTCATAATGAAATCAGACAGGAAGCAGTAAATTGAGACCTCCGTGCCATTTTAATATAAGAATTATTTATTGTTTATATTATTATTTTTCAATAAAATTTGACTATTGTCGTGTATTGTCAAAATTTATCTACGATCACAGAACACTTACTCTTCTACGATCAGTTACTTTTCACGGTGTAGTTTTTAGTTTTTTATGGTTGAGCAATATTTATTACTATATACATCATTGGTGTCATTTTGTATACAGAGATTATTCTCCTTTCCTCTACCCTCCATATACTATACGGAGAATGGTCGCACTGTGCAGCTTTCTGAGTGCCTTTTAAAAGGAGATAGAAAACTCCGCCATTTTGAACCCTTATTAAGTGTTACCTACATCTTGGCGCAATATTTTTATTAGGTGTGTTTTAATCATCCGCTTCTGCTTCGGAATTGTCGGTTTTCTTGTTTTAATCTGACAGGTTAAAACGACTAAACCGACAATTACGGAAGCAGAAGCGGATGATTAAAACGCACCTGATATTTTGCTTGCTGCTGTCAGTGTCAGTGAATATTATTTTTGAAGTCACAGTTTATTGCTAAAGAATCAGTTAGCTCACTCGGACCAGTTGAAAGTTCCAAAATAACATCCACTCCAGGGATACAAATTCAGGATACGCAGAAGACTGATGTTTTATTGTAGGCGGTTGTAATATATTGTATTATCCGAGTTGCACAGTGTATAAACTGAAACATTGAGATCAGAAGTGCCGACTCAGAGTGAGCGATCTGATTCTTTAGCTGTAAACTGTGTCACAGGGTTCAAAATGGCCGCGCCCTATGTTGGGCGTGTCGGACCTCTCTCTTGCCTCGTATAGTAATCAAAGTATGTGAAAGGTGCGGACAATTTAGCATCGTCATAGCATCTTCTCTTTATTTTATCTCAATGTAGCCAACCCAACAGTTGTAAGGCGAGGATAAGATAAGAGAGAGAGACAAAACATAAGTTGGATAGAAAATTACTAAATTCAGAAGTTCTGCGCTTTTTTCGCGCAATGTAAAATTGTCAAATAACGGAAAAGGTGGGTTGTCAGTTTTTTAAATAGCAAATAAACACATTTTTATAAAAATGAAATATATTTTTGACTCAAACAAAACGAATCGACAAATAGCAAGAATCACGACTCTGAAGGACTAAACTAGTTAAACTGGCACACTGGCAAGTTATTTATTGGCCAGCGTGTTGAGATTAAAATGATAGTTGGCCACTTCATTTGTTTTTTAACGGGAACGGCTTTGTCGCTTCTCTATGGTTGTTATTCTCGGATTGGGCTGCAAGAATCAATAGTATCTGCATAGGATAATGAACACTTTCTTCTGTGGTATCTGCGACTGTAAAGCATGCATAGTTCCAAAGCTACAGGAGAAACAGAAATAATGGTGAATGGGCCTATAACCAAGTACTCTTAAAATTTGGGTAAATAACCAAGCATCTTCCAAGCATAAATTCATGCCGTTTGGAAATGTATCCAGTTCAACATCGATAAAAAATAAAAACTATCATAGAAAAAAAACGCATATCCGAGAGTCAAGTACCTATAAAAGTGCTAAAGTTATTACGTAACCAGGTCAAAAATGGTCTAGGGGTGTCTAGAAAAATTGATTAAACTAGGCGAGAAAATACAGTTACTTTCACTTGGGTCCCGGGAAATAACGGAATAAAGGGTAACGAGATTGCAGATAATCCTGCATGGAAAGGGGATCAAAAACACCCTTTTTGGGACCTTAGATCTGCGATATCAGCAGTTCACAATGTTAAAAGAAACTAAAAAATAATTAGATACCAGAAGAACCGACAATTGGAACGATGTTTTGGGTCAATGTACTTCTGAGTGACTATAAACAGACAATATCAGAAGCCTGTAACTGCTTGAGCAATAACAAGCATAGTAACAGAATCGTTACCGTGCATTATCGATTTAAGACAGCTTAGTAATCTCAAAATAATAGAATACAGTGAGTGAGAAGGAGGAGGAGAAGGAGGAAGGCCAAAATAACAATTCACATTCTAAGCGAATGTAAGACACAACAAAATCCGAAACCAGTATACTTTAGACTTTTAGAGCATACAGCATACCACATAGAAGATGGTAATCTGCTCAGCTTGAAGCCACTCCAACTCTTTAATTTCCATTGGAAAGTATGATTGGAACAATTGTTATAGACATCTAGATTATTTCATTGTCGCCTTAGCGACAGAAGGGAGAACAATAGATACTTTAGGTTGTAGTATATCTAAGGTTGCCACCTTTTTGAAAATAAATAAAGGACTACGATTCTGACAAGGGCTCGGGTATACAAAAAGTCCTCATCCTTCTAATGAACTTCTAAAAAAAAAGGTCGCCGAGCTTGCAACCAAAAACCTCCTCGATAGAGTAGCGAGCTTCTAAAAAAAAGGTCCTCATCTAATATATTTTTGTACAAACCATGTCCCTTCCAAAGATATGTGCTGCAAAAAAACATTTGCCGTAAAAAAAAACATTTGCCGTAAAAAAAAACATTTGCCGTAAAAAAAAACATTTGCCGTAAAAAAAACATTTGCCGTAAAAAAGGACATTTTAAGCTTTAAAAAGTCATAAAGACATTTTGCTTTAAAAAAGGCTGTTTTTTTCAAAAAAAAGGACAGGTGGCAACCCTAAGCATATCTGTTGTTTTCTATTTGGTTATTTTGATTGCTCCACTGTTCTTTGAATTAATAGTTTCTCCAAAATGTTTTCTTGATTGTTCCAGGTTTGTTGGAGGTGAGTTAAACGCCTGCTACAATGCCGTTGATCGTCATGTAGAAGCTGGAAGAGGGGGGAAAGTTGCACTTGTCTACGATTCCCCTCTTTTAGGCATCGTTAGAAGAATCACATATTTTGAACTACAGGAAAAAGTAAGTAAAATTTTAATAATTTCCAATGCACTTCAAAGTAATATTTAGATTAAAATATTTAATTAGGTGTCTATAGGACACCTGAGATTGCAAAAAATATCTCGAGCAACTGGTTACGTGTCTCAGTCGGAGGACAATTTGTGATATATGTTTGTGGGGTCTCAAGTTTTGATTTGAGATCCCATGAATAAATGAAGAGGGGCCCGGCTAAGTGATCTAAATGCCAAAATTAAAAAATTCCAGAAATCAAAGAAAAATGCAGAGATTATCATGCGGAACATACAGACAGCCTCCGCTTTGAACGTCGGTTTCAACCACTACGATGAAATTGGCTCTTATATCTTTTAATGGGACATTGGCACTGGCACATAGATCATATTGATAAAAAAAAAACAATAATTAATATTTTGGCACTTAGATCACTTAGCAAGACTACTCTTCAAATATTTAAATAAAACTGATTTTTAACCGACTTCAAAAAAGGAGGAGGTTCTCAATTCGTCGCAATATTTTTTTTAACCGACTTCAAAAAAGGAGGAGGTTCTCAATTCGTCGCAATATTTTTTTTATGTATGTTCAGCGATTATTCTTTAACACGGTGTCCGATTTCAATGATTCTTTCTTTGTTGGAAAGAGGGTACTTCAAGAGTGGTTCCATATAAATTTGGTCAAAATCTAATAATTGGGTCCGTGAGAAAATCCTCACTCTTAATTTCTTATGTATGTTTAGCGATTTATATATATGTCCGATTTATATGATTCTTTTTTTGTTAGTAAGGAGGTACTCAGGGATGGTCCCATATAAATTTGGTTAAGATATGGTTATGGCATCTGCACGTTTTATAAGTCGGTTTTTTTTTTAATTTTTAACATCTAATACTTGTTATAAACTGTATATATTTTATGTAATTGTAAAATGATATATCGTGACAAGTAAAAAAGTATATGACAATCACGATACACATGACAAAGTATTTAAATAATTATTATATTGCTGGTCAACAGAGATGGCCAATGAGGTACGTTTAATCCTTCATTAGGACTGTCACGTAAGGCAAGAATATATGACGCGTGTGTCGCGGTTAGTTAAATCACTACATGTTTCGCAATACGCCACCTGAAAAAAAATGTCTACTTTTAAAATCTTTCAATATTTTAGGTTTCCAAATTAGCAGGTCTTCTACAACGATTAGGTGTAAGCAAAGGAGATAAAGTCATTATATACATGCCTCTAATCCCAGAAACAATAATGGCGATGTTGGCTGTTGCTAGAATAGGAGCTGTCCATTCTGTTGTATTTGGAGGTAGGAAACTATTTTAGTGATTAAAATAAACAAAAGATATAGCTTCTAAATACTTCTAGAGTTGCTTACATTTCTGATTTGTATGCTTTTCCCATATTTAGTATTCATTTACGACGGTAATTCGTTAATACAGGGTGTATCTTTATTTTTAGTATGTATTTATTTGCATAGAGATAAACCTGATTTGAAAATTCAAAATGTGAGAAAAAATTAATTCCTTACCTTTTTGTTTTTTATATCGAAGTACGTGCCTGTTCGTAAATTAAGCAGTCCACGATACTCCCGGTGCACTAATTATATAAATGTCCACTAATTCGTTAACGGGTAGTGTGAATAAAACTTATATATTTTAAAAATTGTAATACTTACTTTTCAATGAACAACATGTTTAGCTATAATTGTGAAATTCGAATTATTTGATGAAGCCTCTGAGACTATTGAGCTAGGGCAAGAAATATTATTTATTAAAATAAGACCTATTCAGCCCCGGATCTAGGAGGGCAAACCGGACTATCTGTCTCGGGCGGCAATTTAAGGGGCGCCAAATTCATATGTAAAAGAAAACTTGTTACACTAGGTACATTTTGAAAAGCGCAGTGCAGTATAGCAGGGCGATATCACCAACTTCGTACAAAACTAAAACTAAATGAGTCTAAGCCAGGGTCATGGAAATGAACGAGCTGGTAGAGTTTATACCATATCTGCAATCGTAAATTTTGTGGGCATGTATTCATAATGTCCAGAAGCAGTTAGTCTATTTGGGCTTGTACAGAAACGTTTTTGCTTTTTCGTCTGATCTATTAAACACTAAATGGTGAAAAATAATGTGCAAAATATTCAAATAAAATAGTCTGCCAGACGTATACCTAGTTGTCACAGCTCTAATAAATAATTTACCGGAAGTTATCAAAGCCCTGGAAGAAATTGAAGAATCCTCTCTTACCGCAGAACCTAAATGAGGATTTGGCTTTCTACTGCATGTAGTGATGTATTTTCAATGCATCCTCAATTTAAAAATTTAGGCTAATATACATCAAAAAAATAATGCAATGTTTTATTGAGATCTTGCAAGAAATGAGAGAAGAACCAGTATAATATTAAATCGAAGAAGCTGCACCTGTTCAGAAGAGTTGTAAATTGCAAAAGCAAACAAATTTTCCAGAAAAAAGTCAACACTACGAAATCTGAGAAGACGAATCAAGAACACTTAACCCGACTTAGCTGTTTCCTCAAGATATAAAAGTAGTGTTTTTCACCTTCTTCAGCGTCCACATGGTTGTAAATGCCCACAGAAGATGTGCAGAAAATGGAGATAATCTAACTCGAAAATATTCCAGAAACTCAATTAATACCTGCGTTCAAAAATGAGTTTGGAACGTTTATCTAGCCTTACGATCCTGGCCATCGAAAATAAAACTGCCTATGAGAAAAACTCATAGATATATAACCAAGACAGATAAGATTATTTACGAAATTTCTGAAGCCAACACGAATTTACAATCTAAGCGTCCTTAACAGAAATACAATATTCTGATTGAATAGTGCAGCTAAGCTTACGGAGTTCTTAACAGTAGTAATGCCTTCTCATACGAAATGTGAAATCTAACTACTGTTACGATCTGATTTTGCCCTCACATGTTTGGTAACTGATTTCGGCAATTGACTTTGTTTTTGGACGCAGTCTGTATATTTTGGAGATATCTTTCTGTGTCTTATTAAGTTGAAATATTAATGTGGCATACCTTGTATTTGTGAATGTTTTATGTCATTTGAGACTAGAGTTGTCTCCTAGAGTGCCTATGGTGGTAATCTGGTTTACGGCTTACGGCTGTCGATAGGTTTTCTTCGGGGCCTGTCGTGGTGGCACGCAGATTTTATCTATTTTTGTTTATTTTTGTATGTTTGATTATTGTGGTAGTGGTCATGATGTCACTTGAAACAATAGTTCTGTCCTATAGTGCCTGGAGTAGTTCCCCAGATAGCACAAATACGTCTTATGGACGTTCTAAAAACGTCCTGCTTGGACATTCAGGACATCCTTAAAACGTCCATTTCATGGCCGTGGACGTCTAATGGACGTATTTGGAACGTCCATTGTTAATAATCAGGATGTCTTAAGAACGTCCATTTAAGGACATTCCATGGACATTTTCAAAAGCTCAAATGGGGGAATAATAGGATGTAACGAAATTAGTGAAAATAATGAATAAATTCAAAAAAATTTATTTGGAAGCAAATAGCCTATAAATAGTGAAATTATTAAAACTTTTTCGTCAAATTCATCCCGTCTCTCCTCTACTTTGCTATTTTCAATCATGCCTAGATTGAGAGCAGTTGTTTTTTTCTTTTTGATTTGGCCATATTTGCCTTCCCAGTTGAACCTGAAAATAATTTAATCGCTTATTCAAAATTCAGATCAATATGAAAATCCAATCTGTTTGTTTAAGTTTGCCTTGCTAGACATTATGAATTCACTAACCTTTCAGCTTTGTAGTATTCACTGGAAAACTCCTCTACTTTGCTCTTTTCAACCATGCCTGGATTGACAGCAGTTATTTTTTTTTTCTTGATTTGGTCATATTTGCCTTCTCAGTTAAACCTGAAAATAATTTAATCACTTATTAAAAATGAAAGACAGATCCATATGAAAATCCAATCTGTTGGTTTATGGTTGGTTTAAGTTTGCCTGCTAGACATTATGTATTCACTAACCTTTAAGCTATGTAGTATTCACTTAAAAACTCCTCTTCTTTGCTCTTTTCAACCATGCCTGGATTAACAGCAGTCAGTTTTTATCTTGATTTGGTCATAATTGCCTTCTCAACTGAATCTGAAAATAATTTAATCGCTTAGTTAAAATAAAAGGCATATCAAAATTAAAATCCAATCTGTTTGTTTCAGTTTGCCTTGCTAGACATTATAAATTCACTAACCTTTTAGCTTTGAAAAACTTCCACCTTTCTCAGATATAAAAATGCTACAAATGGCGGAATGATAGAACTTGTACTCGTATATGTATATACCATCGAATCATGAACATTGAACACTTTTTTTTAATAAAACCTGAGTCCTGGGAATATTTCACTTCAGTGCTTGAATCTGAATCATATATAAATAAATAAAAATAAAAAGTCACTTGTCAACATGTCACTTTCTTGCAAAAGATCTTCTTCGTTTTTGTCTATTTGGCCTTCATTCAATTGGATATTGGGACAATGCCATCTATAATAATTATTTATATTATATCATTATATATGTTTTTTGTATAATATAACCAAATAATAATACAATGCGAATGTGAATCCGTACAATTGACGTTTTGCGGATATCATTTCTTGACGTCCAGAGGATTTACTAAACTGGGCATACTTAAAACGTCCATAATAGATCCCTGACGTACAGACGCTAAATGGACATGTATTGGACGTCCTTAGGACGTCCTGTGCTATCTGGATCTTGCGTTTCCAGCTTACGGCTGCCAGTGGAAATTCTTCGAGTTTCACTATAGTGACGCTTGTGGCTCACTAATTGAATTTGTTAATCGGAGCTTACAAGTTTCTGACTCGTTGTTTAATGTATTTGACGATGGGGTGTCTGTGATCTTGGCGATGCTTTTACATTCAAATTATGTTATTCGAACATATCAAAATCATATTCGCTTAAAATTTTACTAATTTTGACTACCTAGTCGTTTATCATTGGTCATACGCATTTCGCAATTAACAAATAGGTAAAAAAAGGAACAAATTTATTAAATAGTTTTTATTCTTCAGATCACGAAAATACCTAACCTAGTATATTAGTATTGTGAGTTTTCTGAAATCTTTAAACTCAAATACTGGAGAAAAGGGGCGCCAATGTCAAGTTCTTATCGTAAATCCGGAGCTGACCTTATTTTTTACCCATTTTTAAATAAACCTCCCACACACACAAACACAAATTTTATTCGCACTACCCATTGCCATACACGTAAGCCGTACCTACAAATGCAGGGTAAGTGAAAAAAACAGACGATGTCACAAAACTGACTTAGTGAGAAAATTGAATTTATAATTAAAATTATGTTACAGTCATAGAAATAAATAAAACCGCACGTTAATATTTTTAACGTAATTTATTAAATTGTTACAAAAAAATTTAAACGCAAGATTATTATGTTCAGGTTTAAAAAATAAACGTGACAAATAACTTATTAAAAAGGAATGATTTCCATTTTAAAACTAACCTAAAATGAAGAGATTTTCATCTGTATAACAATGTTTCATAACATTCGTTAATATTTGGGTGACAAAATCGTTTTAGTACTTGCAAATCGTTGTATTTAGCCTGGACAACGACGGTTTTTTTCCAGTAGTGAGAGAACAACGTCTGTTTTTAACCATTATGATTATGTTTAAATGCCTTATTATTCGGACTTCGTTTGTTTGATTAGCCTACGATTTGGCATGGATGTAGAACTCGATATCACCAACATAAAAAATTGTTTACTTAAAAATTTCTATAAAATGGACATCGCTAGTTTTTTCTCCTTACCCTTTAAATATTCACAAATAAAGGTTTTTTTTATAAGAGCAATGGACATTTAAAATCACTGCAAAACAGAAAAATCCTTAAATCGCTTTTTGAATATTATAGACTGAATAATTATTGTACTAGAATTATTCAGTTGAGCGATTAAAATTCCACGTCGATGATTGGATCTAGTAAAACGGTCAATAACAGTTATTTTGATAATATCTTGCCAATAAGTAAGTTGAATAAACTAGATCCGTAATTAAAACTTAAAAGGGTCATCTCGCGGCTTGTCTCGAGCCATCAGTTTTAAAAGTATACTAAAAGCTTGATAATATGTTCATTTCACCAAATTAAATCGAGTACAATGTTCCAATTAAAACATTATAGGTGAAAACACAGCTTTTTGCTCTTGATAATATCGGGACGGTGTTGTCAAGCTAATTATTTATAAAGTATTAACAGAAATATGTAAAAGTTCACGTATA